AGATAGATAGATAGATAGATAGATAGATAGATAGATAGATAGATGGATAGATGGATGGATGGCTGGCTGGCTGGCTGGCTGGCTGCTAGATCACATGTAAGGATACACTACCTGACATAACCCACAGCTTCACAAAAGCATTCTAGCAAACAGGATATTCCATGACTTGGAAGTAGGGACAAAGGTCAGACTTCTCTTTGGGCAAAGTTAAATTCTTTTACAAAGTCCATGTCCTTTCCACAGAGTGACACTAAACTCAGTCTCGCTTTGAAAATCCACTGCAAGGGCTGGCTCCAAATTTATTTTACAAGCATGCAATTTTTTCCCAGAACACCTTGAAAATATAGGTTTCCAAATAGCCAAATTGTCCTTTCCCCCCTAGGCCTCAGCATTGACCTGCTCACAGCCCTGGGGATGCCAGGGAGGGTTATGAGCAATGGGTGGGGGACACCACCAGCCAGGCTGGTGACAGGCTGCCCACACCTGCAGGGGAGGGCAGGCTGCCCCACGGAGCCTGCCAGCTTCTTCCTTCAGGTGGGAGGGTGTGGTTTTTTTCCACCAGGATTTCTCTTCCTACTGATTGTGGCCTGGCACATGGGCAGGGGGCACCATGTCACTGTCATCTCTGAGGTGAGGAACTGTTGGCATTCCCTCCTACTGAGGCTGGTCCCCTGCTTGGCTGGGCAGATGTTTCCCACACATTCTCTCTGTGGGTGGGGAGTGGCATTGTCCCATTTCATCAAGGGGAGGCTCAGGGTGAGACAAATTGCCCAAAGTCACACACCCCATATGACCCTATATGAAGTTGGATTTCAATCCAGGCCAGTCTGACTTCACCTGCTTTCAGCTGCCGCAACCCAAGAGTCTTGGGAGGAATCTGGGGCCCTTGCCAGTCAGTCCCTCTCCCTTGGAAGTTTCCTTAATCATCCATCCCTTGAGATGGGTGTGGAGGTGCATCTGGACCTCCACGGGTTATTTGTCCCAGATGCAGATGAGGGCATTCCAATTACAGAACGAAGCTGGGGTCACCAAGAAGTGGACTTGTTCCAATGGCACCGTAAGCCAGGCGTGATGGCTCGCGGCCTGTGACTCCAGCATTTGGGAGGTGGAAGCAGCCATATGTCAAGTTTAAGACTAGTCTGGACTACGTAGCAAGACCTGTCTCAAAACAAAACAACACAAATATGCAAATGTTATTGCACTGCAAGAGGGACCAGCTCAACTGATAACACATCTCAGCCCACGTGTAACCCCAGAGCCAAGGCTCTGCACTCAGAAGCTTTAAGCATTAAAAAATCAGTGATTCTTCAGTACACGTAAAAATAAAGGGTTTCCATAATTTACCCTGCTGATCTTCTCAGCGCCCCCATGAGAGTCAGGCATTGTCTTCACTACATAGATGGAGAGACCGAGAGTCAGAGAGGCAAAGGGGCTATCCTGGAAGCAGGCGTTCCAAGTCTGAGTTCCAGGCAGCCTTTCTGGTCACACAGAATGTCATACATTCTTCATTCCTGTTTGGGCTAGTCATGAGTTGAAAGAAGAGAGAAATGCCCCCGAGGTATTGATCCCTCCAGGAGGAGGACATGCAAGTCTATACCTTTAAAAGTGTGACATATCTCTTCTTAGGGCTAGGCATGGCGCTCAGGGGTAGAGCACAGGGTACCTATGTGAAGGGCCTGGGTTCCAATCTCAGCACTGCAAAAGGGAAAAGGTTAAGTGGATTTTGTTTGTTGTCTCTCTGTAGGAGTTATCTTATCAGCCATTATTTCTACTGATCCCCAAAAGCTGCCTTTTCTACTTATTCTGGATGCCAGAAGTTTTACAGAACTGGCTCGAGCCTCCGTTGATGTGGAGATGCACCTGGACCTCCACGGATTATTTGTCCCGGATGCAGACTGGGATACAGGGAAGCAGACCCCTTCTGAGAACCAGCAGGACAAGGAGTTGGAGAGCCCCAAAGCCCCACAGGTCTGATAGTACCAGGCTGGGGCCATGGTAAGAATGACATCACTGGTAGAGTCCTCAGGACACCGAATGAGATGGTTAATATTCTCAACTTGTCAGGATCCAGAATCACCTAGGAGATAAACCTTCAGGCAAGTGTGGGACTTTCTCGATTGAGAGTTAATGGAGGTGGGGAGACCCAGCCTGAACGTGGGCAGCACCATCCCGTGGGCTGGGGTCCCAGACCGAATAAAAGGAAGAAAGTGAGCTGAGCACCAGCACCATCTGTGTCTGCTTTTCTGACAGTGGATGTGATGGGAGCAGCTACCTCACACTGTGACACCATGGCTTCCCCACCGCGGCAGACTGCACCCTCACACTGTGAGCCACAATAAACCCTTCCTTGATTGGTTTTGGTTCTGTCAGGTGTTTTGCCTCAGCCACGAGAGAAGTAACTAACACACGAAGCTTGTCCCTTCCTCTGTGCAAACGTGGCTGCTTTACTTCCCTTTGTAGTTAGCCCCTTTCTACAGGTACTGGCATAAGACATGGCGACATCTCTAATCCCATTTCATTTTGGCTGAAGAACCATTGTTGGAACATCAAGTACTCACCAGTTAGCTCTGGCATTTTTAAGAAAGCCCTTTTACGTTACCATAAAGACCTTGAAGGGGCTGGGGAGATGGCTGTGTCAGTAAAGTGCTTTCTGTACAAGCATGAGGGCCTGAGTTCAGACCCCCAGTTACCAGTATCAAAAGCTGAGCATAGCAGCATATGCCTGTTGTCCAAGCACTGGGGAGGCAGAGACAGGGGGATCCCTGGGGCTTCCTGGATGGCCAGTCAGGTGCAACAGCTTGGTCTACACAGCAAGTTCCAGGTCATCTGGGGTACAGGGAGACTCTGTCTCAAAAATAAAAATAAGTCTGGGCCTGGTAGCTCATGCCTTTAATCCCAGCACTCAGGAGGCAGAGGCAGGCAGATCTCTGTGAGTTCAAGGCCAGCCTGGTCTACATAGTGAGTTCCAGGCCATCTGGGGCTATAGGGAGACCCTGTCTCAAGAAGACCAAAATAATAATAATATTAATAATAATAATAATAAGACACAGGATGTCAATGTCTAGTCTACACATACATGCACTCATACAGTATGCACACACATACATACACACATACATACACACACACAAGAAAGACCTTGACCATGAATCAGGAATGACATGAATCATGTTATCATTGTTCTTAGAACAAACAAGGAAGAACAGGAGAAAGAGCAGAGGGGAGGGGTGGTGCTCGCTCCTGCTCCTCCTCCGTCTACCTCCCCGTCTTCCCCTTTACTGGACTAAGTTGAGGGTGTGGACATCTGGCTTTCTCGTGGCTTCCACCTTCATACGTCATGTGACCAGGAAAGCATGCTGTTTGCGGCCACCCACTGCAAATCAAAGCAGAACAGAGGTTGGAAGATGGCTCGGTGGTTAAGAGCACTGACTGCTCTTATGGAGGACCCGGGTTTGGTTCCCAGCACCCACATCGTGGCTCACAACCTTCTGTAACTCCAGTTCCAGGGGATCTGAGGCCCTCTTCTCTTCTAACCTCCCTGAGCATTGCACACACAGGTGCACTTACATACATACATACAGGCAAAATGCTCATAGATAAAAATAAATAAATCAAGAAGAATTTTTTAAAAGAATATAAAAGAAGAAAAACTTGAAAGTCTGCTTGGAGCTCATTTAGTTTTTGCCTCAAGTTCTTCTGAGGCCATAAAATAGAGCTGCAGTGCCTCGGCCTCATGCTTCCTGCATTACGAGGCTCACTTCTGTGGTCAGTGACTAAAGGTTGGTGTGGGACCCCTCTTTGCAGGAGGGGACAGTGAGCTGGCATTGCTCTGATGGGCCAGAGTCCAGGGTGGCGAACCAAGGCCAAGGCTGGCTTGAAAAGCAGAGCATGGGCCACTTCGGTGTCTAAAGGGAAGAAGATGCCCTAGGCTGTTTGTGCTGTCGAGATGGGCCAGGCATGTCGGGCAGAGAGAAGGAAGATCCCCAAGCAAGATAGTGCTGGAGACAGAGGAGGCTGGGACCAAGCCAAATGGAGTCCCACCTGACTTCTGGGAGCCCTGTGAGCACCCGAGTCTCACCATTAGAATCTAATGGGCACCTAGGGCATGAGCTAATGCCCACAGGCAGGCTAGGATGAATGTAGTACCCTGTCATGGGATCAGGAAAGGTGGGGTGCCCAAGTTTGTTCCGTGCTTGCCCCCTCTCCTGAGTCTGTATTCCATGCAGTCGCCAGAGCAGATTCGATGAGGAAAGTAGAGGACAGGAAGTGCATGGAATCTCCCAGAGGGGGCAGGCATGTTCATGTGGCCTTGGCTTGGACTTGAAGCCACTGTGAAGCCCTCCTTGGCTTCCATGAAAGGGCAGGTGCCACCAGCCCCAGGAGCTGGTTGTGTTCAAAATTGAAGTTCTCCTTGAAATTATTGTACATGTGTGTGCAGTTCTAAGAAACAGTCCAGGGTGCGTGCGTGCGTGCGTGCGTGCGTGTGTGTGTGTGTGTGTGTGTGTGTGTGTTTAGCTCTAGACAATGTTATTTATCATCTGTATAAAACTGGTAAGTTCCCGTATCCACCATTGTGGCCAAGATACCACATGATCCATCGCAAAGATCCTTCAAACTGCCTTCATATCACCGCACCACCTCCTTCCAACCTTACCTCTTGGTAGCCCTACCCGTCATCCATAGCTAGTATCCATAAAGATCTCTCGTTTCAATCTGTCATTTCAGAAATGCTACATAAATTCATGTGTCATAGTGTCATGGCTCATACCTGTAATCCCAGCATTCTGGAAACTGGCCCAGAATTTCTGTGAGTTTGAGGTTTGAGGCCAGCTTGGGCTATAGAGTGAGACCTTGTCAGGAAGTGGGGGGGGGGAGGAAGGAAGGAAGGAGAGGGAAAAAAAGGGAGGAAGAAGAGGAGGAAGAGGACCGCAAGGGACGGAAGGAAGGAAGGTCATATAAATGAATTAGGCTTATTAGCCTTTTGGAGTTGGCGTCTCCTGTGCAGCAGGGTTCTGTAGCGCCTCCTCTGGCCGCTGTGTGAATTAATCTGAGTTGTTCCCTGTTGGGCCATTTTATTCACTACTTTGACCTCAGCACCTTCACACCGCGTGGTGTAAGGAAGACATTCGGTAAATATTTACTAAATGAATGAGTGAATGCATCAGTGAGCTCCCCAGATTCAACTCCATAACATCCCAACAAGAGGTAGAAGTTCATTGAGGATCTTCTGGGAGCTGGGGAAGACAGTGCACACCCACACACAATTACCCACCGCCTTTCCTCGTACCTGAGGTCCCTGATCTCTCCTGTCACCCTGTCTCAGTCCCACCAACCCCTCTGTCACCCTCAGCATCTCCTTCAGTTTACAGATAACACATAGGAAGCATTGGCAGAGCAAAGAGCACTCGCTCTTCCCCACCATCTCCTGTGGGAATCTCAGAACTTCAGCCTTGGGAGGCTGGAGATGTCAGCCTTAGTGGCCTAAGAAGACACGACAGGGCCTGGGTTTGGGTGGCAGGAATGGAAGAGTTGACAGATGTGTCAGTCATCACCCACTCATTCTCCTGACTGAAATATCTGAAGGGAGGGTGGACTGTCCACCTCTATGCTACACAATCCCAATTGCCAAACAGCAGCTAAACCTAATCTCAAGAATGGGTGCAGTTCTGCCGGGAAGAAACTATGTCTGTGGTTTGTTTACCTTATTTAACATGACAGCTGGAATACCAGACTGGTGAGCGAGGCTGGCACATGAGATCTTGTTTCAAAAAAACACCAAAGATTGACGCTGGAATATTTTATTCGTCTGGGTCCTCTGTTCCATAATCCCATTATAATGCATGCACACTCTGGCCAGGCCCTTAGCTCAGAGCCCCAGCCAGGAGCACTACCGTGCATGCACCTTTCTCAAAGGGACCACAAGTTGGTCCCCTCTTCTTCTCTCCCAGACTTGCTTGTTATGAAGTTTGTGGGCGGACAAGATGAATGGCCAGGAAGTCCCGCAGGAAAAATCATTCCGGGTCTGTTTACTGTTTCGGTCAAGCGTCACTTCCCGGAGCGCTCTAAGACCTGAGTGTCAGGTGCAGGGAAAGACTCAGATGTTTACCGTGTCCACCGTAGCTTCTCTACCGTGAGTCCAATGTGGGGACAAGCTGGACGTGTGTCTGCCTGAGCGAATCAACTGTGAGAAACCTGCTTTTGTGCCACATCTGCCATATTAATTCACACAGCCTTCTCCGGTCTGACGTTACCAGTGCAGCACTGACTGCTTTAAAAGGGCTGCTGGTCCAGCCGAAGTCAAAGCACCTTTGATCCCTTCTTATACTGTTTAAAGATGGCTTGGGTGGTTCTTAAATAGCCAGGAGAAGTCTTTCCTGGCAGATGGAAAAGTCCCCACCATCTAGAGCATCCATACCATCAGACGATGAGATGCCTCCGGGCTTCAATGCCTCAAGGCTTCAGCGCCCCCCTGGAAGTTTAAACTCATGGTCAAATATCATACTGGGTCGCCTGGAGGAGCATCCCTCAAGGTTGAGTCCCAGTCAAGAGGCAGGGAATTTTCTTGGGCACAAGGAGCAAGGAGAGGTATGGGGCACTGTGTACAAAGATGAGCCAGTCTTCTTTCCTCATGGGGATTGGCACAGGCTGCTCACTGTCAGGTGGTGGGCGCAGCTTGGGACAACGACGGAGGTAGATGTGGGGGACTGAACAAAGCAAGGAAGAGCAGATTGCCCAAGAAAGAGCCATGGAAAGAGGGAAATAGTGTGTGTGTGTGTGTGTGTGTGTGTGTGTGTGTGTGTGTGTGCGTGTGTGCGCATACGCGAGCAGGGTGCGTCCTCTCTGATTGTAAATTCATGTGTTCGCAGGGCATGATGGCCCACAGCTTTAATCCCAGCACTTGGGAGGCAGAGGCAGGTGGGATCTCTGTGAGTTCGAGGCCAGCCTTGTCTACATAGTGAGTTCCAAGCAAGCTGGGGCTACAGGGAGACCCTGTCTCAGGAAAAAAAAAGAGAAAGTCATGAAGCTGGCTATTGTCAGTATTAATCATACTGCTTGATAATCATTGCTTTGTTTGTTTTTTTTTAGACCACAGGAACTATATTTTAAGTATGTAATTAAAGTGTCTTCTTTGAAAGAAAGACTACCAGAAGCTGCCTTTAGAAGAGAGAATTACTTAGAGCAGAAAGGTTTGTTGAAATATAATGACACTATATACATAACC